TAGGCGGATCAATCCCGATCTGCTAGAGAAAATTAGATATCATGTTCACTAATCTACTTAAGAAGTCATTATTTAGAAAATTATACTATCGACCATATTTAGGACAATGACCCCTTGAAGGCCTAGAAACAATCTACATCGTACTTTCAGCAAAGCCGACGATATGACATTTGGAAAAGGACTTGGATGTGATTTCGTTAAGAAAAGCTGCTTGTCATGGATGAAAAGTAAAAAGGGACCTCTTCCATTTTGTACGCGAGAGAGTGACCTGACGTATGTTGGCTGACTACTGTCCCTCATCTGCACCGAACTATACAGATTTTGGCGGGAACCCCTCTACCAATGCACACTGCTTCCAGTACGACATTAGTCCTCATTTCAGATGCAGTGCGGATCGCAAGTCAAAGGTCATCTGTAATTTTGCTGCCGGAATGAAGGTACCACCTGCATACGATTACAATGTACCAGGTCTTTTTAAGGATGACAAGGGCAATCCAGTAGAAGGTGGTGGTGAGAATGTGATGGCCGATTACTGTCCCTATTACTCAGTGAGTTATGATGCTCATGTCGGCTTTTCTAATTAGTGAGCACCAGTTGTTAACAGAAATTTACCACCAAGATATATAGCTTCTACGCGAGTCGATTTCTGGTAGCCGTACTGGTCTGAAAGAGGGAATGAAGGGCTCAAGAAATTTTCTTCGTCTGTGAGTCCTGTCCAGTCTATGGACGACGCCCTTTGGCCGATGATAGGGTAGACCAGTAGCGAATATTACCGAAAAGTATTTGCATTGGGACAATGCCAATGAGGAATAGTCAGATAGTTTGACGGAAAAAATCCGAACGAGCCGACTGCTTTGACGATTTTTCTGTTTATGCCAGAGTGACCACAAAACGGAGTGGTCAATTCTTGAACTTTCCAACCCACAATCCCATTTCCTTGTAAGGCTCCCAAATATCATTGCAGAGATTTTTCTTTAAGAGATTTTTTTTCATTTTTTGCGAACTTTTTACGTTGACTACACATTGGACACTGGGAATTTTATAGGAATTTGAGCATAGCTCTACGCAAGACAGGAACTCACATTGTACTTACAAAGGGAATGCTGGCTCTGATAATTTTACGCTAGAGGTACGCTCACTGATGATCTTATGATGCAAAATAACATTGGGACAGCTGGTCTTTTTCCTCTTTTCTTTTGCTCAGATTCATTTTTGTAACTATCACTGCACGTGGTCTTCGTGTGTTCAGTCAACAAGACGCCTGGTTCCTGCCCTTTTTTACCAATTATCAGCGTGTATCCTTGTTAGTATCTTTGCAGTAAGTATGCACAACCTTTTTATTCCAGGATTTCTCTCCATCTTCGCGTTGTTTTGAGCTGAAGGGAGGAGTTAAGATTGAAATGGGTTCCAAACGATACACCTATTCAGCTGAATATGGCTGCTACAGCGTATGTACTCCAACAATTTCCAAGAAAAAGTTTAAAAATTTAGGACCCTCAATGGGATACTTTCTACGTGGGTTATTCGACCACCCTCTTTTCCGCACCATCAAATGCCATTTCCGTGGGAAGAGGCCTTGGCTGAACCACTGCCACCAGTTCACTTAAATCGATGTCTGAAA